TAAATTTTTGAGCTCATTGACTGGCTGGACGTGCAGACTCTTGTACTGATAAGGGCCTTTATCGTACTTTTCAAAACTGGTTCCATATGCTTTACACCCAGTGAATTATTTTGATTTGCGATTGTTACACTGTAGACAAACACAGCAGCCATTTTGTATGCTTCATTGAATTTGAGTTGAATTCTTTGGACAATTACATGCACTTAGAGGGCAGAGAATAAATTTAGCTGTGCTTGCATTCCAGTTGGTTTTCGCAAAACTGAGGGAATCAGTTGCTGATGACTGCTTGCATTTTAAATGGGTATGATGAATAGGTCTTTGCTTGTTAGTCATAGCTTCTGCAGAGATTGACCAGGAAGTCAGGAAATAGATTGCTGATGAGTCAGATAATTGCGGATTCCGTGTGTCTGTAATTTTGCCACCTGCTGTTCCTGTACTGTCAGACACTTTTTTTAAAACGGTATAATATCAATTCTGTCAGTACTGGGTCTGGGAAATGTGATATTTGAGATGAAAAGAGGATTGGGTTGGCTTTAAAAACAAGATTGCTGGAAAGCTTTGATAAAATGTGCATTTTTTAAGCAGTAATCCAGTTCTGTATCACCAAATGACTATTTGATCTAATTCAGTGTTTTCTATTTACAGATGAGTTTGTTCAGAAGTTAAAAAATAATATATTACGCAGCTGCGGTATTTATTTATTGGTCAACATTTGTGTATTTCTCTTAGGGAAATTTACAATTAATTTTTTACTGTTTCCTGGGTTCTGCTGGGTTCTTCACAATTATATATCACAATCCCTCTTGTTCACAACTTTAACAAGCAGATGTTTCTTAACTGGCAGCTTAAGTACATCAAACATTTTTATCAAATACACTACTGCAGTTTGAATATAGAATGATAAAACAACACTAATGCCCATCTCTCAAAAGGCTAACATTATCCTCAAATGCTTTGCCTGTTTAGTTTATGTAGGATAGTTTGTTACAAAATTTTCACGAAAAAAACGTAAAATACATCATGCAGATTTGACTGAGATAGACAGAATTACTTTTACAAAATGTTGCCACCCCTTAAATAAGAGTATTCCAAGCAATTTTGCGAGTTAGTATTGCGGAAAAGTGACAACATGCTGTGTGAAATGATCCTGTGTCAGAAGGAGAGAGAATGTCTATTTTTATTGAGGACTGCAAAACAAGCTGTGCTAGCATCTGGCAGCTGTTTTGTGGTCTTTTTGAAGTGCTAAGTGTTTGCATTCCAAGGATACTGTAAGTTCTTGCATGCAGCGTTACCAAGTAATGAGTCCTTTATTTAAATATATTATACAGAGGTTTCAATATCACCAAATTTGAAGGGCTGGGAGCAAATACTCT